ATTGACGAACAAGTGTTCATATGGATCAAGGCCTTTTAAAAAGTATTAAGGTTTGTTCATTTTTTTTTATATAAAATTATCAGCCAAAATTATGTTATTGAAAATTGAGGCACTTTAAGTATCAACGAGACTTAAGGCTATGACAAAAACTTTTAGACTTTTAAATTGGTATTGATGACCATTTTACACAAGTCAAAAACCTCAATCTACAAAAACAGCAACTGAAGCCTGTTTACTTTTTCAGTTTTTATATAAAATTAAACCAGCCAATATTATCAATTACTGGAATTTTAGGCACATCAAGATTGTTTATTAACGAACAAATATTCATATGGATCAAAGATCTTTTAAGAAGTATTAAAGTTTGTTAATTTTTTATAGAACATTATAGCAGCCAAAATTATGTTATTGAAATTTTAGATTGAAACTTTAAGATCATATCATAATATTATCAATTATTGGAACTGTAGGTGCTTTAAAACTGATATTGATGAAAAAGTTTTTATATTGCTCAACAAACCTAAAACTGCACAAAAAAGTGTATAGTATAATTTATGTATTAGTATAATTTTTTAATGTACCATTATATCAGTCAATATTACCATTTATTGGAAGGCACTTCAGTATCAACATTGATGACAAAATTTACTAGTCAAGCTTCTAAAACAACAAAAAGTTAATTTTTATATAAAATACCAGCCAAAATGATCAGTCATTGAAATTTTAGACACATCACGATTGGTATCAATCAACAATTGGTTCAAACTGGTCAGGTCTTTAGGTACAAACAAAAACCCTGGAAACACAACAAAAAAGTACATATATATTTTTTTCTATAAACTTCTATAAAGCAAAATTACTGGCTATTAGAATTTTTAGCTTCTTAAAATTGGTACAGACCCTAATGCACATAAAGTTCGAGAGGTACTAGAAAATCCTGAGCACATCCAGTCAGTAGACTTAGCTCCTGTGCTGAAGCAGCAGGCCTGAGTACAGCTGTAGATGAATTAGCGGCGTGCTGGGGGGTCTCTGTAAATCCACTCATGCTGACTCTCATTATGAAAAAACGAGTGTGGATATACAGCCTCCATCACAGCAGAGAGAGGGGCATCATACCTCTTCCTCATCTATAAATAACTCTGTATATGTATCGCTCTGAGCTTTTACCGCTAAATCACCTCCATCAAACACTCAGCAGGGTGGACGCGTCTGTTAAAACGCAATTCAGCACTGTTTTATCAGCATATGTTACAAAATACACTGCAATTACACCCAACACTCACTGCCTTCCCCGTTCACTCTCTAACACTCGACTTTTTATATCAATTCCTATTCTCTCTTTCTGCTGCAGCAAAACTCCCCTGATTTCTCAAAATTTATACAAAACCAGTTCCAAAGAAGTAAGGATAGTGTGTTAAAGGTCAACGAAAACAGAAAGCAGTGATTAGTAAATTCTGTTTTCTTGTATTACAGTGAAAACAGTACAAAAACAGAGCAGCGTTTTAACGAATGAACTTTTTTGTAAATGTAAACTCATTCTATGCTTCAAAAAAGCTGGGACAGGAGCATGAAGGTCCCTGAAAAAGACGGCGTCTGAAAGGCAGAATGTGATGCTCCAAAATGTGACCAGTGTTAATGGTGCTTTCATAGATGTGTAAGTTACCCACAGATCCCCCATACCATGACAGATGTTAGATTTTGAACTTTACACTGGTAATAATGTGGATGTCCCTTCTCATCTCTGGCCTGGAGAACACATCCATCATTTCCATAAACAATCTGAAAGGCTGACTCAGACCACAATACGTGTTTCCACTGAGTATCAGTCCATTTCAGATGAGCTTGAGCCCAGAGAAGTTGGCGGTGTTTCCACTGTGTATAGCTGTTACACTGTGTGGATGCAGCAACAAATTGTGTTTGACAATTGACTGTCAAAGTATTCCTGAGCCCATGTGGTGACATCCATCACAGAAACATGTCAGTTTTTAATGCAACGCTATCTGAGGGGTCAAAGGTCACAGCCAATAAGTTGTGAATTTCAGCTTTCTCAGTTACACACAGAGATTCTACCCGAAACGTTGATGTTACTTTGCACCGTAAAGGGTGAAAAACCTAAAATCCTCGCAATCACTAACTGAAGAACATAGTTCTTTAACTGAAGGAATTTTCTGATGTATTTTCCTGGTAAAGTGGTGAGTCTCGACCCAGCCTCGCTCTTTAAGGGCTTTGGCCTTTCACGGATGTTCCTTTTATAACCAAGCATAACTGCATCATCTGTTTAAAATATCTTTTTCCAAGCCTTGAATTGTCTTGAAAAGTCTTTGTACTGTTTTCATTCAAATAGAGGTCAAAGTATATATTATAAATCACTGCTTTCTGTTTTTATTTGCATTTTACCTACTGCCTCAAATGTTTTGGAATTAAGGTTTGTACATAATTTAATAGTTGAGATGCAAACAGTGTCATTTAGAGTGGTTTGGTGTGAAATGGTTGATTGTAGATTTCTTGAGGTGGGGATAGGAACCATGGGTCGCCATGATTACAACACAAATATAGACATTTTATTTACTATCCAAAACCACCAGTGAACCTACAGTGTCTTCTGAGTTTCTGTATGTAATGTTGATCTTGGTAAAACAGTGGGAAATCTGGTTCCTATCACCACCACTGTAAACAATTCAGACTCAGTATGTTTTTTGTACAACATTTCATATCAAACCACCCTGAATGGCTTGTTTACATGTTAGCCACTGAATTATGCAGAAATTTGGGAGAAATGCTTAACTTTTTCTTGTATACATGTAAAGAAAGTGCTTGAGGTCAACAGTGTAGTCGAACATTCTCAATAACAAATATGATCAAATAAAAGCCTTCATATAAGTTGCTGACTAGTTTAATAGTTTGACAGATTACTGACTAATGTGAATGTGATACCATCTGGTACTGTATGTATGTAAGGATGGAAAATATGATGATATTTATCATTATTGTGATACATTACACCTCGCAACATGCTTTTCATGTTTCTTTACAAAGAGAGCATATTAAGTCATGTTTAACTCAGCTTAGTGCAATGCGGTATGTAATATGTTGAATAAACATCTTTGTAATCAGTTTTTTTGTGTGGAACCAGTGGTTCTATAATTCTGCTAATAAAACCTCAGGAAAAAAAAAACAAATACCGTGATGCATTTTGTGTATCGAGAAAATGTCTTCAAGTATCATCATTAGATTTGTGCCATATCGCCTCACTGCGCCTGCACACATCTCAAAACTCATTTTAGACCAAAGACTTCTCAAAGCTACAGTCTCAGCTTTCAGGCACTGTAGATATAGCAGAGAGATAAACGGATACAGATATATAAATAGATAGATAGATAGATAGATAGATTGATAGACAGACAGACAGACAGGTGTGTAAATAAACAGATAGATAGATAGATAGATAGATAGATAGATAAACAAACTGGCATGTAAATAAACAGACAGATAGGTAGATAGATAGGTAGATAGATAGACAGACAGACAGACAGGTGTGTAAATAAACAGATAGATAGATAGATAGATAGATAGATAGATAGATCGATCACTGGCATGTAAACATATAGACAGATAGACAGATATGATGACAGACATTTAAATAGACAGACAGACAGACAGACAGACAGACAGATAGATAGATAGATAGATAGATAGATAGATAGATAAACTGGCATGTAAATAAACAGACAGATAGGTAGATAGATAGAATAGATAGATAGATAGACAGACAGACAGACAGACAGACAGACAGACAGACAGATAGATAGATAGATAGATAACAGATAGATAGATAGATAGATAGACAGGCATGCAAATAGACAGACAGACAGACAGACAGACAGATAGATAGATAGATAGATAGATAGATAGATAGATAGATACTGAGTAGATAGACAGATAGACAGATATACCGACAGACATTTAAATAGAGAGATAGATAGACAGACAGACAGACAGACAGACAGACAGACAGACTGGCATGTAAATAAACAGATAGACAGATAGATAGATAGATAGATCACTGTAGATAGATAGACAGATAGATAGATAGATAACTGGCATGTAAACATATAGACATATAGACATATATGATGACAGACATTTAAATAGACAGACAGACAAACAGAGATAGATAGACAGATCACTGTAGATATATAGACAGATAGACAGATATACCGACAGACATTTAAATAGACAGACGGACAGGCAGACTGGCATGTAAACATATAGACAGATAGACAGATATGATGACAGACATTTAAACAGAGAGATAGATAGATAGACAGACAGACAAACAGATAGATAGATAGATAGATAGATAGATAGATGGATAGATAAAATAGGCAGAAATAAAGAGACAGGTGTTTAAACAACTGGACAGTGGGGCAGAAAGACAAACTGCCTTATAAATATATGAATCCATCACTTACATGCCTATTATATAAACAACGCAAAAGGTCCCTCAAATCACCAATCCACTGCCATTCATTCATTCATTCATTCATTCATTCATTCATCCATCCATTCATTCTCTCCTTCAATGGGAAGACCACTGAACGTTAACGTGACAAATGACCTGCCGGCTTCCTTTCCCTTCTTCCTTTCTGTCTGTCTTCCATAACAACCACCAACGATGACCCAACACTAATACAGCACCATAATCCAGCTCTACTGTAATGACTGTAATGAGGTAAACACAGTTTACCACGGACCCCGAACAGTAAGATCAACCACAGGTTCGTCAGAAAGACCCTCCTAGTGTTCAGTGACCGAATCTAACAACCAAAATAATGATATTTAATCCGAATTTCGTCTCCATTGAACTCAACGCTGCTTAACCGTTAAAGCTTGGAGTGCATCACCGATGCATCGAGGTCAAAATACCGACTAATAGCTCATTTCTGGACATTTTTAAAGCACAGACTGCAGAAACGTCACTTATTCCGTCGTGTTTGTACCTCTTTCTTCTTCTGAGCTGCTCCAGGCTGAACGTAGAGCAGCATTAGCAGCATTAGCAGCATCAGTAACCTGCACCGCACCGCCATGATGGAAGATGCTCTCACCGCAAAGAAGCGTCCGGGCGACGCGATTGGCTGCCGCCGCGACTAATCAGCACCGCGGAGTCTCCGCGGGGGCATCATGGGAAGTGTAGTCTTCGCAGTATTTAGGGCAGCGTGAGCTAATACAGGCCCTGGAGCAGGAAATGTTACACATTTTAGCGTTTACTTTCCTGCTCACACACCTAAATCAACTCATCAGCTCATTAAGAAGCGCTTCGGGTGGTTAAAATGGAAGTGTTAGAGCAAGAAAAACAGTAAAATGTGCAGTTTTTTTTGACCTAGCATGGTGTAAAGCTTAACTTAGTAAACATGATTAGCCGGTGATCGTATTTACATAAAACTGGTACCAACATATGCTTGTCAGCTTGTTTGAATTATAGATTATCGGCAGTGTTTGCATATATTATTACTTCTAACAGTATGAAGGCCACATTTTAGTGTCTTCCTGCTTTAGCATAGCTCAAATCAATAATAAATTAATGACCAACATAGCCATTTTAATCTTAATAAGTGTAAAACGGCTCTGTTGAACCTTTCTACTTGATGTATTCGGGGAAACGTATGCATTGTTATAAGCAAGGATGTGTGGAAATGCTATAAATAATTAAAATCACAAGGCAGACAAATATACAGTGCTATACCTGTGTTCAACCTAGCCTTAAGTTATACAACTATTCCACTACTTTCTGGGAAATGTATGCTATTACATTTCAAGTAGAGAAATATGGTAGTTTATTCACTGTTTATTGCACTGTTTTACCATTAAGTTCAGTGGCAATATGAAAACACTCAGTTGAGCCTAAGCTAACTACTGTGCCGTTGTGTTTGCTTACAGATATTTGGGAATTTAATAAGGAATAACGTTTTGTTTACTGTCTCTGACCGATCAGATATCTTAATGGACCGTCCATTGCATTTCGTTTGCAGGCCAAGTCAGCCATATTTATATGGAGAGGAATTTGTGCCAAATAGAAAAACAAAAAGTGGACAAACCTGAAATGCAATGCACAAACTACATTACTTTTCCATGGTGTCAAGCAGAATATCTGCCAAAACGAAAAGCAAAGCCTGTCTTACATTGTTTTCACGTTGCTTGAACTCTTTTCGGAAAAAAAAAATTGCATTAAAAATAAAAGGCAGAATTTATTTCAGAATTGACTACAATCTGCCTTGAAGTGTAATGAAGGCACAGCTACTGCTTTAAACCTCGCAGTACTTTACACAAGGTTATATCAATATAACAGATGTTTTACTATTTATTTTGACACATTTTCCACATGTTACTGTTTAAATGCAGTCTCATTTATGCATTGCATTTCTCTGTTTTAGTTGCCTTCCATGAGGCAAATACATTTGAAGTACAAAAACACTGTAGTGGGGGTTTTGCTTTTCATTTTTGCATGTATTCCGCATTTCACTATGGAAAATAATGTTGTGTATAACGTTTTCACTGTTAGGATTGCATTTAAATGAGGCCAATCTGTTTAAACTACTGCACAAGGAAAGCAATAGTTGCACCTTCATTACATTTCAAGGCGAACTGTATTCAATTCTGACACAAATTTTGCATTTCATTTTTTAAATACAAACCCACTTGCGTTGTTTTTCAGTAAAGAGGTCAAGCAACGTGAAAACAAAGTGACAGTGGTTTAGTTAGTAATCACTACAGTGCAAAAATGAAATGCAATGCACACATGACATACTTTGCTGTAGTGCCAACCTTTTTTTAAGCAATGAAACAGGCAATAAGACAGCAGTACTGTAATATCTCCCAGCTGCACCTCCCCTCCGTGCCATCAGGGGGCACTTCAGGGTTTTTTGGAAGGCATGGCTGCAGCTGGGAGATGCAACTGCAAAACTGGACTGTCAGGATGGAAAGCAATAGTAATTATTGCCAGAAAAAAAGACAAAGACATACTGCGAACCGCACAGGGCGCTCGGATTTATTAGCATATTTTATGGCCTTGCTTGTGGTCCTAAGAGCCTGTCAGAGGCTGAGCATTGATTGAGCTTTATTTTCCTTCTTTGTTGTTTCAAGGATTACGTTTGATAGGTCAAGAGAAAAGAATAATGGGCTTCTTCTCAGCTGTGTGTGTGTGTCTCTGCGGGTCTATTTAAAGTGGTGTGAGAGCATTCAAAGATAAGCGCCCCCAAGTCATTAAACTGTCTGAATGTTAAATGTTATAACCAGCATGGTCTGTTTGCATGGTCTGATTGTCCGTGCGAGTATGTGAGGGTGTAATCAGACGACGAGACGCATGCCTGTATTAAAGTCAATGAGTCGTGAAGAGCAAATACATGCGTTTCACGGCCGTTAGCATGCAATTTACTCATGGCGCAAGAATAGCCTAGCATTGGTGAGACACTACAATGGCTAACATGATATGGAGACCAAATGGGGTCTTAAAAGATCATAATACTTGATAATCAGGTTGGATTCTTCAGTATTTTACCACAGGGATGTCCGTGTTCAGTGTTAGCGGCCTATTGGGCTTTATATTTTAGCACTTTCACGCTCAGTCGCAGCCTCCTGGGACTGGCATTGGCCAACTTGGCCATTTATCCTAAGGGAAATTTCATTAAGTGAGATTTCTTCGTTAGCCAATAAGCAGAATTCTTGCCTTGCAGGGCTTTAGCCCTGCGCAGTATGTTCCTCATCCATCACAGCAGATTTAACTAATTATCAGCTAGTTAGCAAAGTAGTGTAGGAGCTAATAAAGCACTAAACTGTGGCCCTCCAGGCCTCGAGTGGCCTGTAACTTAAAAAAAATATACTAAAACAAAGTTATAAAGCAGCCAAGTGTCCAAAAGAAGGTGGAACATGTGCTACCAGACAGCTGTGACTTTTAAAAGCTAAAACTAATTGTTGTTTTGGCATTAGCATGGCAGCGTTAGCGGGAAAGTTCTCTGAGGAGAACAGGGTGAACCCATTCACAGTAAAAAAATAAAAACAGGGACTTTTCAGCCTGTCCGAAAAAAAGGGAGGAGATTGCTGCTGGACAGTTGTGACTTTTGAAAGCATGCTGCTTTGGCATTAGCATGACATTATGCTAATGATGTTAGCAAAGAGGTTCTCTGAGGAAAACAGGTCACTTTTAAAAGGGAAAAATGAGCTTGGCTGGGTAGAAAAATCTATCCTGAATAAATAAATAATAACTATAAAGCCCCAAAGTCGCCTCTCGCAGCAAAATCCCAAAATGCTATGTGCTCAGACGTTTAGCGTCCTCCGATGTTTAGCGTCCTCCGATGTTTAGCGATGTGGTGGATATTCCTGCAGCGCATCGCTGAGGCGTGAGAGGGACATTGCTGGTGCGACGGGTCCCAAACCCCCCCCTAAACCCCCCCAGGGAGGGTGGCGTGACTCATGCTTCTTTAACCGGACGTGCCGGACCCCCAGCCAGGCAAACAGAGGTCAGCGGCGCTGTCGCTAGCGCTAACGGATGGCTCCATGTGCTAAATGTCAGTCCTGGTCTGTCAGAGCTTCTTTCCTCAGGGCTGGAGTGGGAGGTCCTGTACTCTACAGGTCTGACATCAGCACTGGGGCTTCTCTACTGAAGAATCAGACATTCTGTGACAAATAGACAAACTTATTGAATCACTAGACCAGAATAATTAGCTTTTAAGTTAATAATTAGTATTGTAGTTAATGATTAGTATCAGAGAGGGAGGGCTTGTGCTGGATTGAAGGGATGTTTCTTATTCTGGATTGAAGATTCAGGGCTTGTGCTGGATTGGAGAGGCTGGGCTTGTGCTGGATTGGAGGGGTGGGTTTGTTGTAGATTATAACGGGTCTTGTGCTGGATTGGAGGATGGGTTTGTTGTAGATTATAACGGGTCTTGTGCTGGATTGGAGGATGGGTTTGTTGTAGATTATAACGGGTCTTGTGCTGGATTGGAGGATGGGTTTGTTGTAGATTAGGACAGGTAGATTGGAGGGGTGTTGCTTATTCTGGATTGGAAGGGCGAATTTGCTCTGGATTAGGGCGGCAGTTGTACTATATTGTAGGGTCAGGGCTTGTGCTGGATTGGAGGGGTGGAGATTGTGCTGAATTAGGGGTCGGGGGATGTTCTGGATTGGGATAGTGGTTGTGCTGGATTGGTGGGGTGGGACTTGTGCTGGATTGGAAGGCTGAGGTTTGTGCTGGATTGGAGGGCTGAGGTTTGTGCTGGATTGGAGGGCCAAGGTTTGTGTTGGATTGGAGGGGTGAGACTTGTGCTGGATCAGAGGGGCGGATTTGTGCTGGATTGGAAGGGAGGGATTGTTCTGAATTGGAGTGGCGGGGCTTGTTCTGGATTAGAGGAGAGGGGCTTGTTCTGGATTAGAGGAGAGGGGCTTGTTCTGGATTGGAGGGGCGGGACTCGTTTTGGATTGGTGATTCAGCAGCTTTTTCAGGCCTTTGGCAGGTGAAGAAGAAAGTCGGCCGCCTTTGCGAGCAGAAACGTAGAATAGGAGCGTGTGGGCGCAGGATTATTGGTATTCGGTTTACATGCATCAATCTCTGGTTATGAGATTATTCTTCTCCCTCTCTCTCTCTCTCTCTCTCTCTCTCTCTCTCTCTCCTGCTATTTAACACACGCACACAAAGAAACAAACAAACACACACACTCCAAATGCACAGGTGGTGTGTGTGGAACACACAGTGTTAGTCGGTCACGCGTGACCAGAGGAAGATAATTGGGCCAGAATTTAGGAGACAGTGGATGATGCATGTATTCCATTTATCTAGGACACAATACTGAATCACACACATGTGCACACTCGGGGGAGAGAAGAGGGAGGAGAGAGGCGGGACACACATGCATGTACATACAGTACTGTGCTAAAGTCAGAGACCCCCCTTCATTCCTTTAACTTCCAGTAAAAACAGCCATTAAGTTATTAATGGTATTCATTTTGC